TTCCACTAAGGCGCACCAAATTACCAACTGTAAATGCCAATCAGACAAGTACCGGCTACTGCGGCTGGAAGCTTTCGGTGACAGGCTGCATTGCTGAAAGAGCGACTCATCGATCATTATCGCTCCTTGAGCGGGCACCACACACACAAAAAAAGAATTGGTTTATTTAGGTTGATGTGTGTCTGAAGTATACTTTACATCCATTCTTACACTTTAGAAACGTGTACTTAAAGCAAGAAGAGCCAGTAAAATGTACACCGATGCTGCCTTCACGATAGGCCTGATGCTCAGCACTGCAGGTAAAAGCGCTCTCGAAGCAGGTCCATTGAGATGCTTGAAGTTTCTGAATTCAAGCTTTAGAACGCTTCTAACCCATGCGTAAACTGTACCTAATGTAAATAAAAGGATAAGCATTGCCAGACTTGCATTTCCGGTGTGACGATATTAAACGACACCAACCTTTTTGCCGCCTCCCCTGGGAAATCTTATGAAGCGTCGGGAGAGCACATTTACATCTCGTCATCTTTGCGGCGTTAACAATTTATTGTTTATGTCGAGAGTGGCGCCTACATCCTCACTTATAAGAAGTGCTACATGGACTCATCACAACAGTTCGTCACTGATGCGAAATCACTATATGCAATATGTGGGGAACGTGCAAAAAAAGGTAATTTTTTGCTGCAACGCAGGCGCACAAAAGGAGTTAGTCTGGTATTGACTCTGTGTGAATAGTAGGATAAAGTGTGCTTGAAAGCTAAATATTCAGCGTTGGGTATTTCAGGTTATTAACGCAATTTTCTGCTCATTGAAAAGGGAAATATAAAGAATGACAAGTGGTTTCACATGTCACACACATGATCACGATGTGCGATGTGTGAAGATTTCAGGCATGCTCGGGATTCGTTAGATAAGCTTCTATCGGTGCCGTAGAATCAAGTGTTTCATACATACTTCGAAAAAGCGCATACACTAAACAGCTTTTTGATCACCAAAACTGGGACCTCCTTGAATTGCGCTCACTCAATCTTCTCTCCAGCTCACAAATTTGGGTTAACCAGCAGGCCTGGTAAGCGGCGGAAAGGCTAACCCTTACCGCGCCCACATAGGTGACCTAGACCCAGCCGCTAATCTTCAGCTTTTAAAAGAGCTTTTGTCCATACATTTTCAATGATACCGAAACATACCACTGCACACGCTACACAAACGTTCACGCGCACTGGTAGAAACAGTGCGTGGAGAGAGAGAGAGAGAGAGAGAGATAAAGATGCATGGAAAGACAGGAAGGTTAACCAGACGCACATCCGGTTTGCTACCCTGCACTGGGGAAGGGATAAAGGGGAGAAAAGAGGTTGCAGAAAGATGAGAAGGTACACACAATCACGAGCACACTCGGGGAGCACACACAGTCTACAGGCGGTCGCTCAGGTTTGTTGACTTGAGGTAAAGTAGCAGTGCTTTAGTTGCTTTCTGCGCAACTGAGGCCGATGCCCAAGGTCCTAGTATCTTCTGCACACAAAATGGTCCGGGGTCAAGTCGATTCAAAACCATCCGGAGCTGGAGCTGGCATCGCTGTGTGTCGTAGCAAGCGCAGCTGCACAGGACGTGTTCGATGGTCTCTCCAGCTCCGCAATAGTCGCATGTAGGAGTGTCTGCCATACCAATGCGAAAGGAGTACACCTTTGTAAATGCAACACCCAACCAAAGGCGGCATAACAGTGTCGCATCGGAGCGGGAAAGTTGTGATGGTAGCTTTAGCTTGAGCGAAGGATCCAGTTCATAAAATTGACACCTTTGGAAGCTGGTAGACGACCAGAACGTGCGTGTGAGATCTCGAGCCAGCAGGTAAAGTTGTCTTGCTGCATCATTCCTTGATAGAGGAATCGGGACTACACGGGTTTCTTCATGGGCTGAGCGGGCTGCATCATCGGCTAATTGATTTCCGGTAATACCGATATGTCCAGGCAGCCATTGATATATAATATCATGTCCTCGTGCTAGAGCTTCATGATGGCAATGTCTTATTTCAACAGTGCGTGGATGAATGAATAAATGCTATGAACGTCCCCTTTATAATGCGGCAGGGACATGTGTACCATCAGGCTCGCAAAAAAATGAAATAAATATTTCTTTCTTTATATTTGGCCTAATGTCTTATCTACTTCAAGTATATCGACCTTATTATAACAAAAAAAATAAATATATGTTCTATCTCTGCCTCTTCAAGCTCAGTTACCTCATTTTCCTACTATTTCTGTTCATTATCAGTACTTTTTTGCCACCGATACTCTAACAATCTCTTGCTTCTATCGCGGACGTGTTCAGCTTTACATGTTTGTCCCTAAACCCAAAGGTTCATGTAGGCTTGTACCCACACGTATACCTTGGTGCATGTCACCGAATTTAATCAGAACACATTTCATAGTTTTCTTAGCTCCCCCACATTATGTACATTGTTCGCCTTTTTATTGAATCTCCCTTTATGACTACGTGATCTAAGGCAATCCGACCTCACTTCGAACATTAAAGCGCTTCCCCTTAGATTATCATAAAACCTCTCCCGCCTTATTTCGTTCTTGCCCTTGAGGTATGGTTTCTGAGAGCCGGCTTCTTTTCTAATGCTGTCATCCAATGAATTCACTCCGCCCCTCTGACTTTCCGCTCATTGCTCCTTGTTGCCATATTGCCAACACTGCCAGCCGTATATTTATTCGTGAGCATCCTAGTTCTTTGTGTCCCCTTTCTGTCCACGCTGTTCCTATACAAATACCTTTCTCCGCCCACCTATTGTCCTTAATTTTGATAAGCGTCTCTTGAAATCTGATTTTGCTCTGAGCTTCCCTTACTACAAAGCCTGTTCATCCCATATCCCACTTTACAACTTCATTCGTCGTCTTCCCGTGAAGGCCCATTGCAACGCGTCTCACAGTCCTTTGGTATACATACATGCCTGATTGCACCTCTGACTTCATGCACAACACTGACTTCCCAGATCTAAGCCCTGAAGCCATTACGTCTTTCCACAGACCTCGAAGCACTTCGTACCTATTTTACCCCAATAACGCTCTGTGCCTAATTATTACACCATTCCTTTTTCCCTTGCTTCCGATGTTTTTCCACGTATCTATCTCCTTCATTTATTCTTACTCCAAGGTACTTGTAATCGCTCACCCTTCGTATTTTTAGCCATGTATTCAGACCACCTTGTCTTCGTGACCACCTTGTCTTCATGATCATCGAAAACCATCAGTCCATATTTTGTTGCACTCAATCTTAGTCCTTGAGTTTCGCCTTCTCTTCCGCATATATTTGAGAGCCGCAGTGTGTCGCCTTGACCATCCGCAAATAGAAAAATATCGCCTGCCTAAAATAGATCTTGAAGCTTCTCCTCAACGATCACGTCAGCCTGTTTGTTTGACAGAATAAATTGAATGTTGCTACTTTCTAGTGCTTTTTCCATCCTCACAATGTAAAGCATCAATACCAGTGGGAAAAAATGACATAACTATCTAAGATCCTTGTTAATTTCAACGCTTTCGTTGCTACATACTCCTTCCCATTCTACGCAAACTATATTTTCTCGGTATATTACTCGCAAAGCTTTATACAGTCGTCACGTACGCCCACTTCCTTGAATGCATCCGACAAAATTTTCTGATTAACGTTGTCATACGCCCTAGTGATTTCCAGATAAGCTACGTATAAAGGCATGTTTTCTACTTTAGATATTGTTATACACTCAGTGAAAAGAAAAAGATTATCGTCTAACCATCTGTCAATTCGAAATCTGTTCTAAAGCTCTCCCAAGTGGTCTGCCCACGTTTCTTTTTTCAGTTTTACTGCCTGCATCACCAATCTGTATAGCTCACATGTAATGGTTAGTGGTCTCTACAACCAAATTTTAACCTTCTCTTTCTTCCTTTGATCGACTCAGTTCATTCCACTCTTCCGCCAAGTGTGGTATTTTCTTCTGCTGTAAACACTTTTGTACAGATTTCAGCAGTGCTTCTTTAGTGCTGTGTTTTAATACTTTACAGAGGCGACCGGAAACCCCATACAACCCCGAAGTAGTGCGCTTAGGAATTTTTTTCTTCGGCCTTCTTCCAATTGAAATTCTCAAGTACTACATCTTCCTTGGTTGCACTCTTTTTCATACTTTTACTTACCAGAAAATCTCCCTGGGCGACCTCTTTAAACTAATTTGCTGTTACCTTTCGGATATAACCTAGTGCTTCGCACCCTTCAATTTGTTCTCTCCTTCATCTACCTTAGGTTGTTGCATTGTGGCAAGCTTTCTACTGAGCGCTTTTAGGAGGCTCCAAAATATTCTAGGCGTGGCCTTTTTCGTTTCGTGAATCTCTGTAATCCAGCGTTAACTATCGCCTTCAATTTTCGCCTCAACCAATTTTTGCACAATGGGTTTACACCAGCGCCCGCAATTGAAAAATCTAGCACTTACCAGTGTTTGACAGCGTCAGAGCGGTCAAGCCAACGCCCTTACAGGTGCAACCAAGCTATATCCCAGTGCGCCCAGTGAAGTGCCAGTAAAATGCAGCGTGCACCAGTGTTCCCAGCGTGTATCGGTGTCAATAAACGTACTAGTACTGGTATCATGCTGGGGACGCTGGTTTTTTCAATCGGGATGTTTTCTTCCTCGTTTCACTAGTCACATCAGCAATATAATTCTAGCAATAACATCCCCCGTTCTTCTTTTGGCATGAGTGGCTGTTACTTCACAGTAATTTGTGTTATACAAATTGAAGCGTTTCACAAAAGAAGGCCCAATGGAAAACTATGTCACGTAACAGTACTAAAAAATCTTGGTTAACGAGACTGTTGACTACAGCATCAGAATAGGAACTCACCGCTCTTTTGAATGTTCTTATTTTTTCTAGCACAATATTACTCAGGCTCAGTACCGCAAAAGCACTTGAAAACTCACCTCTCATGGAAAAAAACAATTCATATGACGTGTACATTATTATAAGGAAACATCAGCATACCTCTTCCACCCCAGTTTCTTGTTATAGAGAAGATGCCGCAGTTGCCGTTGGCGAAAGTATGCAAGAGCCGCTCAGTCGAGTAGTATGAACCTGTAGGTATAATAACATATCAAGCTATTTGCTAGGAAGGCTGTTATATTTTAAACTACTTTACAGTTACCTACAGTATGCTATAGAGATAGCTATCAAAACTGCGAAACATGGCTTACCAGGCGCGTAATCTCATGAGCGTTAATTACTGATAACTTTTCATGGTACACACCGTAAGTTTCTGGCGCAGAGTTTTCTGCTACTCGTTTCACTCGCTGTTTGCTCCTGACAAATGATGCGAAGCATCGGTTAGGAAACAAAACATTGCTCTTTTCTCTTCCAACGTGCCACTTGGAATTACGTGGAAGAGCTATTGCGATGGGAAGCCACTGTGTCATACGCTTCTTTTTTGTCTTACTACGCAACCGGTCCTCTACACGTAGAACCAGTGACTCGCGCAAACCACAACACATTGTATAGGAGCCTTACAGATTGCTTTAGAATCTTCTAATCAGCTTGAGCGCACAATGGGAACAGCAAGATAATACCGGAACTTACGCGGGAACCATGTATTACTCTAGGAACTTGAACGCCACTGATAGAAAAGGCTGACGCACTTTATAGCTGATCACATTGATGAAGTCCAGTAACTTTGCTGGCTGCTGGCACGTTATAGTATGGTGGTGGCTTGTTCGACTGGATCTCATTATCACCTGCAATAGTTCAGCAGTAAAGGCCGTAGACCTGAGGCACCGTTGCGCAAAACGATGTGATCCACGAAAACTTCACTTGCTATATGAAAACATTGCTTTTAATTGATTGATATGTGTGGTTTAACGTCCCAAAAGCACTATTTGATTATGAGAGACGCCGTAGTGGAGGGCTCCGGAAATTTCGACCACCTGTGGTTCTTTAACGTGCACTCAAATCTGAGCACACGGGCCTACAACCTTTCCACCTCCATCGGAAATGCAGCCGCCGCAGCCAGAACATTGCTTTTATCGACAGTGCACTTCGCTCGGGTGTTACCAGAGGCCCGCGTCGATTGGGTAGCATCACACGAAGAACAAAGAACAGGGAAGAACCAGGAAGTGGTGGTGGTGGTGTTAAAAAATCTATTCATGGGAAGGGCAAAAGGTAAAACAAAGTTTTAAATAAAAATTAAGAAAATCACTATGTGGGCTTCTTTCAGGTTACAGCTCATCGGCCCAAGTAATCAGCCGAAGTTGACGATCCAGTCTGGCAAAAGGACAAAGCAGCCTCTCAGTGCCATGTACTGCTGAGCAGCAAACAGGCAGAGGGAAAGTGTGCGCGGCAGGAGGAGAATATGCGATTTTTTTGATGATAGAGCTGCCACATAGGCAGAAGTATGGCGAGTACGTGCAGGGGTGGAAGCGGGCAATACGCTCAGGAGTAAGGAAAGTTTGGGCGTGCAGTTGGCACCACACGAGTTGGTGGTGCTGGAAAGTGATGCTGGACTTAAGAATGCAAACAGCTATTCGAAGCCACTAAGAGTAAGACCTGCGACAGAGAAATTGTCACGTTGTACGACGTCACAAAAACTGTAGGGCTCACCTATGTCCCAGCAGTGCTTTTCATGAAATCCCGGATTACAGTGAGATGCCATTGGCGCTTGGATCCAGGTCGTTTATCGTTCATGAATGAAAAACTTCATTAGTGGGTTTTTGGTGCCTGACCCGGGAGGAAGTGCTTCTTTCTTCGAAGAAATTTATATACGTCTTTTGCTGCCCCACTACCAAGGAGCCGAAGCTCAAGGAGTGAATGCTAGCACCGAAGAGCAAATAAAGCTGCACTATCATTTTCAGTTTGTATGGTAGGTGCTATAACCTTCACATCAATCATGTCTCCTCTAGGGCTACTCAGTTAGGAACCAGTTCTATCACTTGCATCAGCATGAACTCACAGGTGTGAAATGACGCTGCCCGTATACCTAAACATCAATAACACAGACACGAAAAGAGCATGCGCATAGTTGATCTCTTATCAACATTACCGCAAAAGGTGAAAGCGCACGATGGCGGACCTTAATAGTTAGTAGTTTTTGATGTTACACTGCACAGTTTGCAGAAAACACGAAGCATGACCTCTTAATTGCAATAGTGAAATATACACTCAAATGATGACTATCCAAGTACCCTAGAGATATGGAAGAGTTTTCGGAAAGCACACACAAAGTATATACAGAAAAGGACTGCTATACATGGGGCATCAGAGTCATTGTGCACAAAGGTTAGCAACCTGATGTTATGTCCCTACTGAAGGACGGACACCCAGCTATGGCACCGATGAGGATGCTAACTGACCTCATGTTTGGTGGCCTTCCTTGGAAGAACACGGGCAGAGATACAATATGAAACCGCCACGTAGCTGCCAGCAAAAACATTCAACCATTAGTAACCCTGACCCTATCCTATTAAAGTTTTGGAGAAATCTCGTAATAGCTATGCTACACAGGATTGCTCCACCTAGTACTGCTGGTTAACGCGTGCTCAAAGAGCAATTGAGTGTTCAGCCTGTCTGAAATAACGAGTTCAAAAAAGATGTACTATTTAAACAACCCCTTTCCAGCTAGCGGGTAAAACAAAGAAGTGGTGATGAATAACGCTTGGCTGTTTACCTCGTACGAATTTTACGATTTTTCTTGACAACGGCGAATGAAGGATACTAGGACTACCTTCATAACATGCCACAAACAACGAAGCTCAACTTTTGAAGCTAATACTGGAATACGGCTCTGTGTGGTCAAAGGGGCTTTGAGCGAACCTCCTTGTGATTTGATGCTGCCTTGCTGAAACACACCGAATTCATTTTGAGCAAAGACACTATATAAACTCTTGAAACATGTGCGCACAGTTGGCTTGTAAATACTCATGCCAAGCTTTTCACAAAACATGTTGCATTGACTGATAGAAGATGCTGGGCGATGGAACCACCAAAAAGGTTCAGCCAAGTACTTCACGGCCGATCATTTATTAGATGCGGAGCATCTAATACTCGAGGTTTGTAGTGCGGCGCCGTCCGCAAGCTTCCTCCTCCTTCTTCCACCATCTGTGCATCCCTTCCTCCTCTACACACCGCGTGCGCTTCTCCTCTTCACGAACATTCGCTAGCTGTATAATGTAGCGCGCATGCGCCGTCACGCTTCGAGAACATCGGCAGCTGACGCGCGCGCATGCGCCGTCGCGCTTCGAGAACATCGGCAGCTGACGCGCGTGCATGCGCCGTAGCGCTTCTCCCCCTTCTCGAACATTCGACAGCTGACAGTGCATGCGCCGTCGCGCTGTATATATACTCAAGGTCGGTGCTCGCTCGCTCAGTTGCCGCTCGTCGGTTGGTTTGTACGGCGCGTCGACGTCCGAGGTCGCAATGATCGACGTTCCTTCGACCAGCGCCGGCCAAAGTGTTGGCGGAACCGCAACCAAGTCGTCGTCCGAAGACAAGGCAGCGCGAAGAGCTCGCGACGCCAAACGTAAACGTCGGCGTCGAGCGGAAGATTCTCAACTTAGAGAACGTGAAGCCGCTGAGAGACGTCAGCGTCGAGCAGCAGCACCGGATTCGACCTACGACCGCTGCAACCCGATCCACTCACTCTTCACTTTACCGACCAAAAAGCCATCGTAGTCAAAGTTCGTCGCAATAAATAAACACCGCCCTTTCGCATACGTGTCGTAAGTGTTCACTCATTTAACACCCCTCCTACAACCACGTTAACCAATTTAGCCAGTGACCCAAGTAATTCGCAATTTAACACCCCATTTCACAACCACGTTAACCAATTTAGCCATCGACCCAAGTAAGTCGCACTTTAACACCCCGTTAACCAATTATATGCTCCGCATCCTCCTCGGTGTTCCCCCGAGGGAAGCTGCGGGCAATTTTTTGTATTTACACAGTGAGGTTTGCAGTGGCAAAACATTTACTTACAAAAACAAAAAAACAAGTGAGGTATGGAGCAACCACTTCATAACAGGATGACACCAACAACTAGTAGATGGGAATTCCTGGTGCGGGAACTTTTGGCGTTGCCTGCTATTTGGCCTTGTGGGCCTTGAGTCTAGAACAGCCAAGCAGGGTCGCCTCACACTGCGTACACCGGGGTCGAAGGGCAGGCTCACAGCTAGTGGTAAATGTCCGAATGCTTCTCCCTACAGTGCGAACAGCTGCCGGAAAAGGCGAGATCAAAATGTGTCTGGGCTTCCGGGCACAGCTTGCTGTTGGTGAAGAGTCGGAGTCGAAGCTGCTCCTCCATTCTACTTAGACCTTTGCATGGGCATGGAAAGAGGCTGTGATTAGATTGGGAATGCTGCACAATTTCATGGAATGAATACATCCGGTTGAATTCAAGGTCAACCTGATCGGGAGGCTAGTGAAATGACCAGTGAGAGAGAGCGCGAGTGGCAGCATCGGCTGCCTCATTCCCTTTGATTCCCATGTGAGCAGGAGCTTAGACTATACAGGGGGAGGGGGGTGCAGCATTTTTTGATAGTCAGAACGTTGCAATAATAGGTAAGCTAGGTACGCGACCCAGCCGCTTGCGATGTTTTGACAGGCCCATTAGGAATGAGGGGGAAGTAGAGTCTTGGCAGGGTTGAATTATCGAGAAGGTGATCATTCCTACGGCTACATACGTGTGAATCACGCATGTGGACTGTTAAAAAAAACGAAAAATGGCGGTTAATGCCACCACCGAATCGCGAGACACAGATCGCTCTGAGAACGTTACTGTCCACAAACCTTCGGACTTCGACATTTCTTCAGAAGGGAAGAATGCAATGCCAACGAGTGACTTTGTTGACACTTCGCGAGGGCTGCTTGGAAACGAACGCAACGTACAAAATTATTGCGAAGCCATTGGGAATGAAGATGAACCTGACCTAAGAAGAAGCAACGCCAAAATTTCGATAGCTAACAGCCTACTTCAGTTGATGACCTATATACGGCAACAACCTTACGGCAAGAGAGACAGAGAGAGAGAGAGAAACGTCTTTGTTCTCAAAAGCATAGAGAAGGAGGGCATGGGGGGAACCACTAGTCCGGGG